CAGAACATAAGAGCCCTAACCATGAATTCAGGTTGTGCAAATGCAGTCACTGGAGCGAAAGGTTTGGAAAATGCCCGTAAAATGGTATCCACAACATCGTCTCTGATCGGCGAACCAGACACTTCAATTGTAATGTCAACGGGTGTTATTGGCCAACACTTGCAAATTGACAAAATAACCAATGGCATTCAAACTGCCTACCCTCTCCTTTCCAATACGCATTCTTCCTGGTTATCTACTGCAGAAGCATTTACGACCACCGACACGTTTCCCAAGCTACGTTCGCGTGAATTCACTCTCCCCTCTGGCTTGACTTATCGCATGGCTGGAATTTCAAAAGGTGCCGGAATGATCCATCCAAATATGGCTACTTTGCTTTCATTCATAGCAACCGATGCAGCTGTATCTCCAACCGCGTTGAGGGCTGCATTAAAGTATGCCGTCGACAGGTCTTTCAACTCTATCAGTATCGACGGCGATATGAGCACTAATGATACACTAGCTATATTCGCTAATGGAGCGAGTGGAGGAAGCGAGATTCGTGATGAGCGGGGAGAAGAGTATCTTGAATTTAGAGACAATTTAACTGAATTTGCCGCCGAGTTGGCAAAGTTGGTCGTTAGGGATGGTGAAGGTGCAACCAAGTTTGTGACTGTAAGAGTCAAGGTAAATATAAACAAAAGTTCCAGTTTCTAATGCCCGTACGCATTATCATCATATCTAATATCTGTGTATATAATATATCCTTTGTTCACCCTTTTTACTCGATTCGCAGAATGCCTTGACATATGAAGAGGCAAAACAGATAGCCTCAACCATTTCTACGTCGTCACTAGTAAAGACAGCTCTTTATGGACAAGATGCAAACTGGGGCCGAATACTTTCAGCCACTGGCTACGCTGGTGTCCAGTCAGTTGAACCTACAAAAGTTTCTGTTTCTTTCGTTCCAACTGATGGTTCTGCTCCATTACAACTCCTTGTCCGTGGAGAACCAGAAAATGTGGATGAAAGCAGAGCAAGTGAGATTTTACAGATGGAAGATTTGGAGATTTTGGTTGATTTGGGTATTGGAGAGCAGGAGGCTGTTATGTGGACTTGTGACTTTAGTCACGAGTATGTTACAATTAATGCAGACTATAGGACCTGATGATACAGATAAGATAAAACCGTGCATTTTAATTTAGAGGGAGTGTGCATTTAGTATTATATATTAGGGAAAATAGTAATTTTTGTAACACCATAAGATGTGCGATAATATCGATATGGACATTTATTATTTAATTAAAATATTGATTGTCTCATTTGACTACTTTTCCTTCCATTAACAAATTTTCAAGACTGTTTAACTGTCTTATCTGCTCACTTGTGTCTTCTCTCTAATAAGTTGGTTATTGTTCCTCTTCAGGAATAAACAGGAATTGCATTGGGTCTGTTCCAATTCACCTTCTAAGACGCATGTATTAATACGGACTAATTAGCAGAACAACATAATCAACGGTTCAAATTTTACAGAGAATAGTAATATAATTAGTCAATACAAATATTGATCACGTGCAGTGTGCATTTAGAAAATAATAGTTTATATCAAAATCATTGCACGCATTTAGAGGGTGTGCACTTGGAGTGTTTTGTCTGTAGAAAGTGAATATTTGAAGCAATAGTTAATGATAAGTTGCATATCAAATAAATTATTTGGTTTTTAGAAATAAATGTACATGTTCATACACTATTCAGTCTTTGCAGCAGTGTCTTTTAATTTAATTTTGAATTTTATTGCTGCAAAAAAATTATTTCTACAATTACGGTGGCAGTCCTGTCAAAGTTATTGTTGTACGAGCAGTGTCAAGTACTGTATAATCGATTATTAAGAATGGCTGTCCGCACAACTGATTAAGTTTAGAGATAGAGAAATATCAGTGATAGTGAACGCTCTCGCCAAACTACCAAAAAAGAAGGAGCAGCTACGTGTGAAAAATCGCTGTGGCAAAGTGCGTATTGAAGCGAACGCATTTCCAACTACAACTGGCGTATCCGCTTGTCTCTTCTGTCATCACCTACGAAGAATAAAAAACAATACGCAAATCATCTTGTAATAAGATCACCTTCCGAATATCTGCTATTATAGAGGATACCAATTGTTTACATCGTATTTATTCTATTACTACAGGTATTATTTCACCGCAAGAGTTAGTCCGTTATTCCGTTGAGCCTTAGACCAAATCCCAATAGGAAAGAGTGTCCGAATATCTGTTGTTATATTCTTACTTTAAATGTAGTACATCGTTCAAAAAGTTTTTGCCAATTATGGGTTCGACAATTTTTTCCAAACTAGGATAAAGGTTTGGTCACGATCTTCAAAATAAATCAAACTTTGTTTTGAATCTGTCGATTCTACATTTTTATTTGAGTGGAATGCTGGAAAATTTTATAAAAAGCTTTGTGGTGATAATGCATCATTATATATAGTTTACTATTGGATAAGATGTCTCGATCTGGGAGGCACTAACATCCTTTCTGGGTATATTCCACAAGAAGAGTATCATAAATCTTTTGAATATTGGCGAATGAGGTTGCAATGTTGCATAGTGTAGGGAAGACTGTTTTGAAGGGTTAGCTTGATAACATTCAATGTTGTTATGTAGTTTGTTGAAATAAAGCTATTTTGCAAAAACTTTTTGAACGCCTCACGTAAACTCGGCATTTTAATTTCTGGGTAAATGAGACGACGAGCAAGGGCAAACGAAGACCAAACTTTGCTAACTAAGCAAGCTTTTGTATAGTGTGTCAGTGTACGAAAAGAACATAGTCAAGCTGGAATGGAAAGAACAGCAAATCTGACAGCTAATCGGAAACAGCCAAGCGATTTGCACCAATGAACTTCCCACCTTGCACCCTTCTCTAAGTCTTACATTCATTGTATAACGACTATAGTTGCAGGTTCAGGATTTTGAAGACTCCACATACCATGCGACTATTATGCGATTTGATTTATACGATCGGGATGGAGCGGTTCATCCAACTTATGAACATCAAGGCTATTTGGATATGACGGGTCGAATCTTCAATTACAATCACATTTTCAGTGATTAGTGTTTCTCTCCTCTCACATCCTTCCCACTCTCCCACTCTTTCTCTCTCCCACCGTTTCTCTTTTCTTTCTCACACGCTGAATCATCACCCCAATCAGTATACTCTTCGAGCTCCATGCGATTTTCAAAAATCAATAAACAACCAACTTATTTTATAATTGTTACACAAAGGAGCTTTTATTCGAGAATACAAGTCAACCCTCTCTATAGTCACACAATGCAACTTTTGTGCTTATAACTATATAGAGGGGTTTTCCTATAAGTTCAATAGTAATTGGTTCTCAAACATGGTGTGCTTATAAAGAGGTTTTTATATGGTGTGCTTATAGAGGGGGTGACTATAAAGAGGGTAGTGGTATAATGATAGTCTATACAGACTATAATTATACCACTTAATTCGGACTATAACTACCCCGAAAATGACGTGCGGTTTGCATTTGCCTCGTCATTCGAGTGACGTGCGTTTTGCGTTTACCTCGTCAAAGATGGCTACAATAAGAAAAGTGATCCATTACACATCTAGTTCGCGAGCCTTTGTTCTCCCATTCTTGGTAAGTAGTGGCCTGTCTGCTCATCAGGTGACGTGTAAATTGCGTTTGTGTCGTCATCCGAGAGTCATCAAGATATGCAGGTAGTTTGACGTGCGATTTCTATTTTTCACGTCACTCAAATGACGATTGTGGCTAATTTTTGTCGTCAGGTCACATGCCAACTATTGTATGCTAGTTTGGCAACCGTATCTGATTTCTATCATTGCTCACATGGGCAAAAAAAACATATCTGACGATGCATCCAATTATATATCGTCATTTGTGGGCCCGATGTGAGGGCTGTGCCCGAACCTGGCACGTAGTGCCTTAGCTTTCTGGTTAATTCCTCGATGAGGGCCAGGTTTGAGGCACGTAGTGCCGAAATAGTATTTGTATCCTAGTTTTGTATAATGCATTCGAATATCGATTAAGGATGAGGCACGTAGTGCCGATTGTTAGCAATTGTTAGCTTTGCATAATTTATTCGAATATCGCCCGAGAATGAGGCATGTAGTGCCGAATTGTTATCCCTATTTGGTGATACTCCAAAGCATAATTTTATATATTATATATTTCTGTAATAATTATACCTTGGGGTATCACTTTTTTTCGATATCTATTTGTATGTAATCCCAAAGTATAATCTTATATATATCTATATTTCTGTAATAATTATACCTTGGAGTATCACTTTTTTCAGTCTTTAGCTGGCATATACTGATATCTAAATCGTACTTTTTATATATTTCAGAATATCATTATATCGAAAACTTTGGGATAATACTATTAAAAACTTTGGAATAATACTATATTGAAAACTTTGGTATAACATTATTGAAAACTTTAGAATAATACTATATCAAAAACTCTGGGATATCACTATCGAAAACTTTGGGATATCACTATATCGAAAACTTTGGGATATCATTATCAAACATGTATCAAAAAACGTGAACGCTATTTATAATCAGAAAATGAAACTTTGGGGTATTAATATGTGGTTAGCTTAATTTTATCAATTCCAACTCTATTTTTCCCAATAGCGTAAGAAGTTTTCTAGCTCTAAGAGTTTTTTTACGCAAGTTATCTTGAGTAATATTAGGAAGAAACGGTTTCATTTCTTTATAAATCATCGTTCTTGCTGTTTTATCTTTGATCTTACCATCTGTTGTAATAGTATGTACCCTGTTTTCGAATTCAAGAGAATAATAATACCAGTTTAAGATTTCTTGTTGACGAGATTTAATTGCTGTTTTAAATAAATTAGATAGATGTTGAGCCGAACCTTTATTCTTTGATATATTAATTTCAGTAGAGCTAGTATTATCTATTACGGAATCAATGAGGCTTTGTCTCTCTGTAGATAAATACAATTCTTCTATTAAACCCTGCTCTGCAATTTGATTTTATCAGTCTCATCATATTGCTCCAATTCAGATATTTCAGTTTGATCATTTTTCGAACTAATGGTTTTTGTTTCACATAATAAATTTGAAACTTGATCGTTCTCCGAGAGAACCGTTTTTATATCACATGACAATTTTGAATCTTGATCATCATCCTCTATAGAGAAAGCTGTTTCTTTATCGTCTGATAATTCTTGGATAGCTGTTTCTCGTTGAAGTTTTTTTTTTTCCGATTTCTCTCTTTTTTTGTTTCTAATTTGTTCTTTATGTAGCCGTTCCAAAAATTCGATTTCTTTATCTTTAAAAGATACATCAGAATTTGAAACGTTATTAGTTATATCAGATGTAGGAGTATCATCGCATCGTATGTCTACCTGTTCATGAGTATCGTTAGAATTTTCCGTTTCAGCAGAGGTGATGTTGACTGAAGATTGGTTGATTTCTATGGTATCATCATCCAATTTAGCGATATGGTTATTTTTTTCTTCGCCGTCTTGTAACTGCTTCTATTTTGGCATTGAGTTCAGCGTCTCTTAATTTCGTGTTCTTTGCATTTTCTTTGGCGGATTGTTCTAATTCCACGATTCTAGCCATAAGCCCTACTTCCTTAGCTAAGAACTCAGCCCTCTCCCTTTTAAGTTCGTGAATCTCAGCATTCTCCTTCCTAAGTTTGTCATTCTCAGTTATAAGCTTAGAAATCTGTTCCTCTAATAAATCGATTTTAGATTGTGTATTCGTCATTGTTTTACATAAACTCACTTACATTCAAAAGTTTAATCACATAAAAATAATGTGAGAAAATTGCGCTAATGCACCTTTGCTTTATTGATTGCAATAAAATCAAATCTATCTATTGTTCTACACTATTGACTACACTACAAAATTTTTCGTTTGTCTAAATTATCTATGCTAACTCAATATCTAAATAATAGTTATAGTCTAGTTCACTTCTTACCGATATTCTAGAAAGAGTAAAAATGATCAGTTATACTCGTACAGTATGAAACGTGCAGTGACAAAAATGAATTAACGATATTAACCTTAGCGGTTTTATTCATTGAAATGCACTGTCACATCCGATCTATAATTCCACGGATACTACTTTAAAGAGATTCAAAAAATATAATATTTTATGTCACGTGTTATGTACACGAATTTCCAATTATATTTGTCCGTTTTATTGTGTCGGAAATTAAAATCCAAGAATACTTCCTCAAGGATCCTTCCAACTGGAGTACTTTAGGCTTTTTGGAGGCGTGTGACTTAGAACCCTTTGACATCAAGATAGATGCATACATAAAATCACTCGAAAACATTGATAACCAAGAGCAAGGCGCCCGACAGGGAAGAGCAAGTGAACTTCTTGAAAGCTATAGAAAGGCAAGTAACATTTTCTTACTGTTAGAAACGAATTGTAAGTGGCATGACAAGAGCTTTCTAGGTTCCTGTCAAAAGGTTTCTAGCTGAGTCACAAAACCGGTGTTAGACATGGAGGGCTTTCCCGGTTCCTCCATGTACAAGGTTTCTAGCTGATCTAACATCGGTCCCACCGGGGCACGTGGGGCTTTCTCGGTTCCCAGTGTTTAAGGTTTCTAGCTGACCGGTGGGCATATAAAAAACGTAAAATGCCATCTAAGGACATTACTAATTCATCTAATCTTTCGCTTCAAGGGAGTGGTTCGCAAAGTTTCTAAAAAATGGGAGAAAGCACGTAAATTAGACAAAGTGAATGTCGGGACCATCAATTAACGTTAATTCGATTGGAACTATAAATGGGGCTATAAGTGGCGGAATAAACAATTGTGAAATATCCACATCCAAGAAAAGAAATCAGGAAATGGTACCTGTGAGCATTTTTTAATTAGTAGTTAAGATAAATCAGCTTAGCTAATTATTTGTTTTAACGTTTTAGGATGATCACAAATATTGAACAAAGAAAACCAAAAGTGGGAAAAATATTCCAAATTACCGTGGATTTTTTGATGAAACATTAAGACCAGATATGAGTGAAGAAGAAAATGTTATTCAAAATAATGAGGTTAGTTAGTAATTATTTAATGGTACATTCCAAACAAATGCGTTTTTAACTCTTTAATGTTTTTTGAAAAAAAAAGCAACAGCCTGAAAATGTCTATGATAAAGAATTGAAACAAGGAAGCACAACCTCACAGTCAGATAATGAATCTGATGATCGTGAAGAGCATCAAGATTATGAATATGTATCTGATTATGATGAGTACCTCGAAGAAGAAATTACAGTTGGTATTTTAATATCTATATTACTTATGTCTTTTAATGCACACCTAATATCATCTTTTATTTTAACTTAGGCTTTAGCTGATACTATTTCAAGCTGGGTTTTGTCAAGTGGTAAAAATGTTGGTGAAGTGTTATCTAAATACCATGAAAAGATTCCCAGAACCAAGGCATATCTATAGTGAATTATACTTTCTTTTGCAAGCATAAACATACTATTCTAGTATCAATTTGTTACGGTCGGGTGATCTGGGGTTTGGGAGAGCAATTAATCTTTCGCGTAGAGGTGTTCTTCCGACCGGGGGATGTTACCAGATTAGCTTCGTACTACCGCCCTTAATACGGTAGTTGTTCAATTAAGA